GGGAGGAGGGGTGGGGGGCGGGGGGCGCGGGGGGGGCGGGGGGGCGAGGGGGGGGAGGGGGGGAAGGACAACGGCTCAGGGGGACTTAATGGGGGGAGGAGGAGGAGGAGGAGGAGGAGGAGGAGGAGGAGGGAGCGTCCCTCCGTCCCCAAGCCTGCGCTGAAGTCCCTGAATCAGCCATGCCGGTGAATTCAGCAGCTGCTGCAGAAGAGGGCACGGGCTCGCCTCACGGCCCTCTCAGGCTGGCTGGGGACGCTCAGGCCCATGGCCCAGGACACCCGGCTTGGCTCGGCGGTTTCCCTCAAAGCTGTCCTGGGGCCTCTTGGATGGAAAGGGAACTTTTCCGGCCGTGCCTGGAGGGGGGCTGTCATTCCAGGCGTGGGGCTCGTCCAGAGGAGGGGAGGTAGAGGTGGACTGGCCGTGTCCCCACAATTCTTTCCGCAGAAGGCCTCCTAGCCACTCCTGCTCCCCATAAAGGACTTTTCAAGGATAACCCCGAAAAAGACAGTTTTGGAGCCAAAGTCATGGTAACGAGCAAAGGCTCAGGGGGACTTAATCGAGAAGCCGCCTTCAGCCACCTGGTATCCTTGAACTACAATTCCCAGCGTCCCCAGCCAGCACAGCTGGGCTCGTAGGCCAAGGGAGGTGGGAGAAGGGAGACAGCGCCTTAATCATATGCTACTTATGGCAACTGGTGGGGAAGACAGTAAATGACAATAAACAAACACGTTGCTATTTTTCTATCCATCCCCTGCTAAGCACCTTTACAATAAAGCAGCACCGTAATTAGCTGAGTGTGTCGTAAATACAGCTTGTCCCCAAATTCTTTAGCATTCTGGCCTCATGCTTCCTGCCCGGCCTCAGCCTGCTAATGAGAAAATATATCTACGAAACCCTCGTACGGTTGAAATATCCCAGGCAATGCCACCCTAATGTAATTTATCATTTTTTTTACACGTTGCATTATACAATACTTTTGCGGCATCCTATTAAAATGATAAATAGCCATGTTGCGGGGGGGGGGGCGAGATTAAATGCAGAGTCATGTGATGTAAGGGCTTGAGGCTTTGCAAATTTTTTTCCCCAGCTGGCCCCTGGAGAAGGGGAGAGAACGGGGCGGGGGGTGAGCAGGAGTGGCCCATGCTTTGTCCGAGACACCCCACATTGAGAGGGGCCTGCACGGGGAGGGGGAGCGGAGCGGCCAGCAGAGTTCAGAACTAAGATTCCGGGTCAACTTCGCAGTTGCTGAGCTCGGGG